AACAGATGGGAACAGGTAAGGAAATCTTACTTTGTGACACGTCTACAGGTAGGGATCGCCCAAACATGCCGAAACATTATCGACGCAACGTCTTCAATACATTGCACAAACTTTCGCATCCAGGTGTTCGTGCAACCATCAAGCTTATAGCAGAACGGTTTTGCTAGCCTTGCATGAATAAAGACGTGAGGGAGTGGGCACGCTCCTGTGTAAGCTGCCAAAAATCTAAGGTTATCAGAAACAATAAATGTCCCTTAGGCTCGTTTAAAACTCCCGATGCTTGTTTCGAGCATGTTCATCTGGATTTGGTAGGACCTTTACCAGATTTAAATGGATATTCTTACCTCTTAACCTGCGTAGACCGTTTCACTCGATGGCCAGAAGCAGTACCTATCAAGGACATCACTGCTGAAACAGTGGCTCGCGCCTTCGTCGAACGATGGGTAGCAAACTTCGGCTGCCTTTCAACCATTACTACAGACCGCGGACGTCAGTTTGAATCTGAACTTTTCCGTCGTCTGACCACACTTTTAGGAACCACTCGCTTCCGAACGACTGCCTACCACCCACAAGCAACCGGGTCGATAGAACGTTTTCACCGACAACTAAAAGCTTCACTATCAGCTGCAAACGTTTCACAGTGGACAGACGCTCTTCCACTCGTCTTACTGGGTATCCGCAATGCAGTGAAAGCTGACATTGGATACACTGTGACTCAACTCGTTTATGGAACGAATTTGTGGATCCTTCATCCTCTTCAATGAACATGAATCGAACCTCCTACACGAACAGGCTTATAAACGCAATGCGTTCAGTTTACCCTGTTTCCACTGGACCTCAATCAACTGATGTTTTCGTTCAACCTGACATACGATATAGTACACACGTCTTCGTACGTCGAGACTCGCATCGACGACCTTCCGAATCAGCATACAAAGGACCTTTCAAAGTTCTTCAACGTGAGTCTAAGTACTATATAGTCGATAAGAACGGAACCAACGATAGCATCAGCATCGATCGCCTGAAAGCGGCGTATTTAGGAGGAAATCCTATCCATGTCGATTTTCCTCCGGCACAATCGAACGACACGACTCCGACACTTATAATACCCCATCCGACAACCAGCACGCACGATAATACTTCAACAGTATCTGAAAATAAACTTAAAACAACGCGTTCTGGAAGAAGAGTAAGATTTCCAGAACATTTGAAACGTAAGAAACTAGTTAACATTTTGCTTCATCTAGATTTTCCATGGCATTATGTATAATATATAAAAAATATTTTAATATGCTCATATTTATATATATTTGTTATTTGGCTAATATGTCTATTAAAAACATTTTTTAAGAAAAAACACAAAAAAAACGTTTCGTGAAATTCGCTTTTACGTTATTTACACTTTTTGCCCATTCTGTGTAATAAGGCGCGTACGAGTTTTTCGACATGCACTTACATACTCTTTTTTTCTTTTCCAGGACGGCTGGAAAAGACGATAAAAAGAACGATGAGGTTTACGAGGAACAAAAAATGTTCATTGTACATCATTTTTTTACTATATTGTACTTCATGTTCCCTTATGGTAAGGAAAGAGGACCAGACGCTACTGAACTTAGCAAGCTGTCAGAAGAGTATTTACCAACGATAAAACTCGTTGGGTCTAAACTTCTGGCTGGCCACGTCTTAGGGTCACCACTACCCTACTAGGGGGGGAGTGATCTGTAGCGGTAAATAAATCCCCAAAATAAATAGCTCTAAGTTTTCGACATTGGATGCTGACCACATGTTTTAATGGACTCACCTAGCTGAAGGCGCTCGGTCATGCATCCGCATCAGATCACGAGTGGGAACGCCGTGCTCAACATCTATTGCAATCGTTAGCCAGATTAGATCAGCCAATTCTCGATATATTGATAGTCATCAAATATATCTATTAATCTCCTCGCGTTCAGAGTGAATGTATATGAAACCACACATGGTTTCACTGCTCCGCTCTAGTAAAGCTTTACCGTTATGATAGTGGACTAATTTTGACGTTTCGTGGTAAAGAGAGAAAGATTATTCAAAAAAAGTTATAGATCGAGTTGTGCATAAAGAAATAACTATTTAAACACTTATTCACTTATGACGTTTCTATCACGTCTTATATGAGGAAAAGAGAGGACCACTGGAATTAAAAGCGACAATGGGTCGAATTTTGTGTGTACGTTTTCGGAGCTAAGAACATTTGTACAACGGAAAGTAAGAAACGAACTAGCAGTGAAACTGGTCCAAATGGTACCTCAGCTCAACATCGCCCAGCCATTTGGGTATAGTATGGGAAATGATGATTCAGTCTATACTCAGCATGGTATCACTGGTGATCAGGAAACAGACTTTGACTGTCGAGACCTTTGCCATCTGTTCGGTTTATTTGAAGGGTTGCTAAACAATTGATCATAAACGCTATCGATCCAAGACGCTGAAGATAAACAAACTTTGCCCCCTAATAGTTTGCTATTACTAAGGGAATAGTCGAAGATACCATTGGAGATAAGTATGGAAGACATTGGAAACAGGTTAGTCATCTCGCTAGTTTGTTTGGGAAGTGGTGGTAATAGGATATTTCATATCCCTCTAAACACATCAATTTAGTGATTTTAGCATTAAACATTTCGATTCATCGTAAGTTGTCTTAACAAATAGTAGAACGCAGCGAAATAGATAACTATAAGAAGGTTAGGACCATGACAGTCCGCATGGTAATTGGGTAGTCAGAAGATATACACTTGTCCCTTTGATTAGTGAGCAGTATATATGAGTGTAGGAAGTATGGATAAGCGTTCTGATCACTCCTTAAGCTCGGGGATTTAATGGGATAAATCAAAACTGGAGGAATTGGAGTCACCTTATGTTATATGGAGTGGTGTTCCGTGCTAATATATGTTCTTATTTCGGGGTTGTGTGTGAATGTGTATGAACACACTTGTAATTCCTTCCTAATCCTTATTTAACCGTACTCACCATCGAGTCTTTGGTTATAGTTTAGAATTTACTATTTAATTTTTGTTTTAGTGCTGGCTTTTGCTGCGTTTCCACTGACTTTCTGTGTTTCTCGATAATTTTATGTTGTTTTACCTGTTATTTTGGTTATGGTGGCTACCATATTGACCCTTCCTACTTATTGGCTGTGTTGCTTAAACTGAATGGAATTGTGTACTTTTCGTCATGAATTGGAACGCACTTACTGTTCTGGAAACTTTTAGTGTTGCAACAAATTTAAATATTCCATACTAATTATTCTGTGTTCGATAAAACCAGAGAGAATAGAAATATAATTCTGTATCGATAGAAAGGTTTATTTATTGGAACTGATTTGCCTATTGCCTGAGCAACTGGGTAGTAATATTTGTATAGAACTGTCCCCTTTCCAACCATATTATTTCTGATTTTGAGTGAGCAAGTGCACTAGTGTCTAAGTCAACCTCCACAATGATCCGCTTATCTAGATTGTCTTAGATTTCAAACTAAGGTTGCTATAGCTTTTTTCTACAGTTATGTTTAACTAGGCTCTGCTTTTTTGCGATGTTTTCAAGGCTGTCAGAAATTACGTCTTCCCGAACCACAAGGGTCCTGCAGAACGTGATACGCTGTCTGTTCTGAAATACTCTCTGTGCTCATGCATGCTATCTGCGCTTAAAAAACAATGAAGTGGATCACCAGTACCTCGAGACAGGGACCTAGGTACATCATCAGTGAAAGAGAGAAAAGAAATTGATAATTCATAGTAAAATACTATCTTTAGTTCCTAAGAATAAGTGAAGTTTTCTCTCAAAGGACTCCTGGGAAGTCGCTCAGTCGGTATTGAATTCAAGCATTTGACAACCATTAAGGAGTAGAAGTTGTGACTAAAATCCGTCCTGCTGTGTTGTGTCTCCAAATTCTGGGTATTATTCCTTAGGTTTTTGATGGAGCTGTAGAATTATGGTCTACTATGATATTAGTACTGCTCTAATAATAGACCTAATCCTGAAATTGTAGATTTGTCATGATATAACTGCCTAATCTATAAGATCTTACGTAGAAGTCACACCATCGGCTAAATCAACTCACTGTATCGTATCAATTACCAGTACATTATGTAGAACAAGGTTAGGCTAGAGAAGGAATAATATATTTAATACGAATAGAAGATATACGGTAACATTCAGAAGAGACCACGCCTGCATGGCCGAGCCATGCCACTCGATCAACTCCAGTCCATTCCATTCATTCTCCGCGCCTTCTCCATTGTTAGGTATTTCCCCGAGTTAAGTATTGAATATCTATTTTCTGAGTAGTCTCGTGTTCACAGCTTTGTGGATTGTGTGGCTATTGTCCAATGCCACTACAGAGCTAAGCATGAGTAGATGCTTAAGGGGGTGTCCAGAAGTGTCAAGGATACTATAAGCAATTAGGTCACCTCTAAGACGTCTTTACTCTAATGGACAAAGGTTTAGTGAATAAAGTTGCTCTTCATAAGGCTTGAATTTGAGTCCCGAACTGATTTCATGGCTCGCCATTGGACACGTTCCAGAGTGTCATTATCCTTTTGAAATGAAAAGGGAAATACCATGTTTCCGTACTCTGAATGGGGAAGAATGAAACTGTTGAGGATTACGTGGAAAGTTTTTCCGACAAACTGGCCAAAAAATGCGCTTCAATCTTATCAGTGCAATGTTTCCTTCAAACGTATTTTTGTCACAGTTGGCCTAAAACTTCAAATTTATTACGAAGGGTGCAGATTGTCTGAAGTATTTCACAAAAAAGCATCAATTACGCTACATATAAAATGCCTCTTTTATTTTTATGATATTATAAGATCGCAACAGTTCCCAACACAGTAGTATATCTACGCATCAGCAATATTTTATTCAACATTCTAGTATATTGTATTTTATGTAAATTATCAGGCATTTATATTTTTAAATCTGGGATTTTGTTTGCTTCCGCATTTGTTTTTCTATTTTCCTAAAGTCAGAGCTGTAGGAATGTGGCACTTTTAAAAGTTCTACTAATTTTCGGTAAAGGTTGTTTTGCTGTTTAAGTTAGCCTTTTCACTATATGTCTACATTTTCTCGAACAGTTTGTGTACGCGAGAGTAATTCTTTGAACGAATTAACAGTTCTCATTGATGAGTTTGGTTACCTTATGGCTCACTGAAGTACGTACGTAATATATTACCGCTTATGTAATTGGTCATATATAACTGCTGCCAGTGGCCATTATATCATTCGAATATCTAGTACTTGTATTGAATAAAATCGCGCTACTTGATTTAGAGGTGTTTCGAAGAAGCTTTAGTGCGCTGACACACTAATCGGCCAGATGACTTCCACTAGGATTTGCATGCGTAATTGCTTCTGCACCTAAGAAGTTGTATGTATCCATAACGGTTGTTCTTCGTAATTTTACCTAAGATATGTCCAAATGAGTATATCGCTACGTGAATGTTCAGTAACCAACCAATTCGTCCTAAAGCATTTTAGTAAGTGGTATTGTCTAAAGTAGCTTTGAGTTGGTATTTGTGTACAGTCTAGCATTTTGTGCCTAACTGTTTGCTCGGGTTCCTTCGTCAGATAGAATGTGAAATTTCAAGTTTCACTACTTGTACTATTCTTGTTCAGGAATCTATGCGGTAGGATCGTGTTTATTCAAAAACCTGATATAAATATCTCCATTTATTTGACAATCGTCATTCTAGTTTTGTGAATCCTCTTATTTACCTTAACTTAAGTCACTGGACCCATCTGCTCGTCCAAAATGTCTTCTGAAAGTCTATTGTAACTCAGTCGTCGTTTATCGATCCCAAAGCAAAATATGTATTCTCGTTATTTTAGTTCACTTGCATTGTTCATGATATTTTTCAAAGCACTAAATAAGTGTGAAATTTTCATGAAAATATTTTTTCGTCGTTGCTTACTTTCATTTGTGTGTTGCGAATGTTAATTTAATCTGACTGAAACTCCGCATTTCGACTGTTGGAAACATTGCGAGTCGATAAATGTTTTACTGAAGCTTTTGTTAACTTTACTTGGGTCACCGATAAGTTTCAACAAATGTCAAACACAGATGTTTTCCAACCAGCCCTTTGGAAACAGACATAAAGTAAGCTTCATACACAGCCAAATCATACAGGTTTCCCGTCTTTCAAACATAGTCAGTTATCTGCAGAAGGTAGATATTTTCATCTGTTTAGTCATTTAAGAGGTACTCTGTTCCTAAATGATAGCTTCATTTAAAGTAAATAAATCAACTAACGCTTCTAGGCAGAAACTCCACCTCTCCGTATTTGTCTTATTTATTTGAACTGTGTAAAATAATTTCACGTAGGTTTGGTTCGTCTGTACATGTTCATTTTCTAGTATCATACTTGTTGGTTGTCGATTCTGTTCCAAATAGTCGTTTTATTTAGTGAAAGAGAAGGTTTAATAAATCTATTGTAGTTTAAGCTTTGTTTGGAATACATTGTCTTAATTAACGATTTCTATAAGCTTCCACCATATTGATCGGCTATCTCTGAACTGAACAGTTACCAAACTGCTCGAATTGATTGAGTTCCCCTAGTTATTTCGAAATTCATATATTTTGATGGAGTTGCTGAGCAGTTTTGTCATTGATTAAAACCCACTTATTATAGTGTGAACAGCGTAGTTTCGTTCGGTCTTGCCGATACAATAAATAACTTGCTATTCGAAACTCCATGGCTACTAAATTTAACTTACTTCGGACAAAATATCATTGTTTATGGCGGCAAACTTGTCTTAGTATACGAACAGTATTATTCAGTGTACGTGTTCAAGTATCCAACTTATTTAACGATTACACCGGTAAATTGTAACACAATTTGTCTTAGCATTATTTCTATGGAATCATTGTTCTGGAAATAAAACCTGACACAATGTACCAAGCAAAGACAGGAGGATAATTACAACTTCAATAATATCTGTTGCTTACTCTATCCATGTGTTATAAACGTTTGTTCTGTATTTGAATTTAATTTTCCACTTGGAAGTCTCACTCACTAATGAAATCTTGTTGCGTGCTTCTTTCTAAAAAATCATTTGTGCTACTTATATTTTAACAGTAGATTGAGATTTAACCCTAAACGATCCTAACGTTTTAAGGTCATGTAGAAATAATGAAGGATATCTTTCAGTTGCTCTTAAGGCGTCATGCTAGAATACAATTTCTGTCCCGTGAAATTAATTTGGCATGTGTTAAGGATCTGAGTGGAAATATAAAGCTTTTAATTATACGTGGGTTTTAGCTGAAACTGTTATTCATAAATTATACGCTGAGTTATGTATGAGGCATAAACTCTTTATAAAAAATATATGACTGTGGTTAATATATTTCCTCATTTTTATTTGTTTTCTGGTAAAATTTTAGCCTTTACACTCCGCTTTCTCTCAGTCAGCTACCATGGCAACAGACGAAGACTTATCATATTCTGACGATGCATTTGAAGGGGAAGACAAAGAAGATACAGATATGCTAAACTCAGCAGAAACTTACAACGACTACCATCAACAAATACTTTTTTATCGCAATTTTGACTCAGTTTCAGGACGAAGTCTTCAAAGACCTAAAGTAATCAAATTCAGATCTCTTAATATGATTTGCTATTTCAGACAAGAAGAAGACGATGGACTCAGCGAGACATGACAAACGCGTACAACGCAGTCAAGTATCAGGGAATGTCGCTTCGTGGAGCTGCGACAGCCTTTAATGTTCCCGAATCTACTCTTCGTGACAGAGTTCATGGAAGAGTCAGTTTAGAATGCTCTCGACCAGGCCCCCCAACATTTTTCACCTATGAAGAGGAAAAGAAGATGGTGGATCATATCTTATTCATGAGTAAAATCGGTTACCCATATACCCGAAATCAAGTATGTATATTGATACACATTCTTATATTGTTAAATTTTTTATGTTGAACATGAACTAAGCTTAATTTAATTGATACTTAAGTAGCCTACGAGATCCCCATTTTCAATCACTTATATGTGAGTGGACTTCTATGTTTATTTTTACGTTGAGTGTTTTATAAAGAAACAGGTAATTTTACTGAATAGAAAATCTGTTCTTCTGGCTCTTGGTCTTGTCTTTGATAGAAATTCATTCGATGGGTTGAATTAATAATCCTGTCTCGTGAGTAACCATCAAACGGCCATATTGTATTGTTGCTTTCGTCTATCCATCAACATTCATGCATTCATTTTACTAATCCAAAGTCCACTCACCACATATCACTGTTTCAAATCCATAACAGTTCGAGTTTTTCTTCTACTTTACTTCCACAATTATAATGGATTTTTCTCTTTTTCCTTTAACTTCCTGTTGTGCCGATGTAAATTGTGGCGATTTTAACTGACAAACTTTCCTACCAATTTTTGCATTGTTAATGTCTAGCTGAACTCTTAAGAACCGAAACACCACAGCGTCTTTCTCTAATTTTCACTCATTTGCCCACCCGATAGTATAAAGAATGAATTGTAATAAGTTCTGCTGTAGCTAAACGTACATGGTTATATCAGTTGGTTACCTAAATGAATAAATATTGATGGGGTGTTACACAACTGGACACTTTCACATGTCGTTGTGATAAAGCCATAACAATGATCATCTTTGGATTTTATTCGTTATCAGCCCCAGCGGATTATTTTTGAAACTTGTGCTTGTACGTTTTCAACTCATTAGTTCGCATTAAGATTTATTTAAGTCAGAACTAGTATGTGTATATAGCTTTAGATTCTTTCCGTGTTTGGTTTGAAAACAAGAGAATTAACAATGGAGGGACTTTTTATATACTTATTATGCTGTGAAAATTATTACGCACTAGGATGATCGAAACGATCAAGATCCACCAGGGCACTGACAGTTTGTTGGGAAATCTATATCTTCAAAAACGATTGGTAATAAAGCCGTCATCTAAAATATTGGTTCATGTGTCAAATATTATAACAAGCTTCTGTACTTATTAATAAACACTCTCAAAAGAAGTTGAGTTGATCTTTATTTTCTGATAGTCTAGCTACAAATTGAATAGATTATTAGTATTTACCGTTTAATAAGTCAGATTGGTCTCAATAATTTAATGTCATCGCACATGCACTTATTTTTTCTTGTTGCATGTTATGCTCTGCGTATCCTTGGAGAGTTCTAGTACATAGGGATTTCAAGTAGGTAGATTATAAACGTTTAGTCACCTCAGTTTATTATCCCAAACCAGAAGTGGGGTTAAACAGGTTTACTAATTCCTCTTGTTATACTATAATTTTCTGAAAGAAACTACAGAATGAAGTGTTTGATAGGTAGGTGTGTAACCGTATTATGTAAGGAAATTTACCAACTTTGATGATTCCAGACTACACCCTCCCATTACTCAGTAACACCTAAAATAATGGAGGACCTACTTCAGGTTTTTATTGGCACAATTCACACCAACACAGCGGCAGATTACCTCGATAAATACTAGGAAATGAAAATGGTATTGGTAGGTTCACTAGGCAAAATACAATTCAGAAGTTAGTGGATAGTGTCCAATAATTCTGTGTTCGAATTTCGGAAGATAATAAATTAATGCATTGCGCAACAACATTTTACTCAAATTGTACTTAGCAATCGCCTTTAAGTATAGTACGTACTTGGAAAGCAAATTACTTTCAATGGCCGGTAGGAGCTTGTGACTATACTAGTGTTTTATGGAAAACTGTCTTAATAATTCGAAACCCTATACCTCTAGATATTTTATTTTAATATAAATTTATAAGACAGAATTCCCTATGTTTTGAAACCAAGACGTGGATAACTTCAACCATCCTCACAGATTTGCCAAGTTAATTTAACTACAAATGAGTTACTGCCTCATTGCATGTAATTTTGTTCTAATGCCGTGAGACACGAATTCCTTATGATAAAGATGTCCGACAGCCCTCGATATTTCAGTACTGATTTCCCATAGTAATTCTTGAATTTAACTGCAGCACCGTAAAAAATGTTGAGGGCTTGTGAATTTTTAGTGTACTCTTGAGTCCGTTATTTAATTACTGAAGTTCTTTTTCGGACTGTGTAGTACAGTTTCCCATTAGTTTTCAAATGATGTAATGCTTAATAACATGTAACTGACATTAAAAGTTAAGAGCTGTTCGTTAATAATATTATACCTTGATGTAAAAATACTTGTGTGAATCTAGTACCTCTCAGCTCTTCACGTTTTTGGGCTAAGGTTACAAAAACCACAAAACTATGATATGAAGTTCCATCAAAATATATCAGAATCAAAATTAATGGTGGTCCTACTGTTGTATTCTTTTATCATCATGGAGTAACGGCTTGGCAACTGCAAGATCTATACTGGTTTTCCTTATCTTGATTATTTTTAGTTACTTAACGTTATAATCAGTGTTCCTAATCTACAATATATTGGCGACATTTTGATTTCATCTATGTTAAAAGGCCCGCTGCGCCAAAACCCAGAATTCCAAAACTAACTTTGCTCGTACCCATCTTAATTTTAAGAATTAAGGGTAGAATGACCTTAAGCTAACTCTTCACTAAATTATATATATATATGGAGAGTTATTTTTGGCTGCAATTTCCCTGCTTCTTCCATTTGTACATCCGGCACTGCTTATTAAAGTATCGTAATAACTAACATCTATCGTACCTTCGATTTTCAGTTAAGATTTGTTGGGTTAGATCAGAACGTTGATTTCTTAATTTTTACCATTCTATTAAGCGATCCTAATCACGTTTATTGTTTCTCCATTAAGGTAGTCGAACTGGCTGGAGACATGACTAAAGCGGTCGGGCGGATCGCTCCATTTAAATACCTTAATCCAAGTCAGGCCTGGTTTTATGCTTTTCTTAATCGATGGCCAGACCTAAAAAATTTCTTGTTCGGACCTCGAAGTAATCGGAAATCTAAGGGAGTTTCAGGTGATTCTATACAATCCTATTTTGAACAGCTCGAAAAGGTATGTTTGAATATTTTTAAATCTCAAGTTATCGTTCTCTTGTTGTCTACTATACAATGCTGCTCAGCACTCGATACATTACCTGTGGTGCATCTGTTTGTAAATAGGCACTAACCCGGTTAGGCCATACCATATGACTTAACATCAATGAATCAGGCTTTGTGTAATCCACGCTACCTTGATATTTATAATCAAATATATCACCTGACTACTTACTCCGCCTCCCAATAATGTCTAAAATTTGGTATTAACGATTCCTCTTACGACCATAGTGTAATTATACCCCCTGACATTGCCAAACAAAATATGTTTTTCACATCACTTTTCTAACTAGGAACATTTTTATGAAAATTTTTAGAAAAGTCTGTTTCACTTAGAAAGACCTAGATGCCGATGATGGTTTATTAAAATCTATTCTCAAATACTACTTACCTTCAAAGCCTTATGGTCTATCAAAATATAAGTTATTATATAAAAAGTGTAAAATGTAAATATGACTATTATATAAACCAACAATACATTTGTCAATATAATGTAAGTTTTTTAATCAGCCAGCTTATTATTACGTTCTGATGAATTCGTTCATCTTGTTTTGCCAAGGCGGTATGGCGACATGAACCAACGCACATCTGTGGCATACACTGCGTTGATAATAAATGACCGACTCATCCTTTAAACATTTTCGCGTTTTCAATCTTCAAACTACTTTCCTCTAGCTCTTACAAGTTGATTGTATAAGATTAACAAACTACAGACAAATAAATCGTTTTCAGTGACAGATTTCTTTCCCCCTTCAATTAATTAATTGAGTACTAATAACACCGTTACTGTTTGCACTCCATTACACTCAACCATCTTTTTAAATAATAAGTAATTCATTTTTATTAGATATTCCAAATAGTAATTTGGTGACAATTTTCATCGTAAATATTAGTTATTCAAAAAGATGTGCTGTAAACTGAACATAACATGATTGTCGCTTCAATCTCTTTTCAAATTAAACAATAAACATCTTCCACCAATTCGATGATTGAATTGCCTTTTTGATAATTTTATAGGTTCTAAATAAATATGGTATCAAAGACAAGGCCGAACATTTTTGGATTGTTGACGAAGTAAGCATAAGCTGCGAGAACCAACCCCCACGTATTCTTCCCATTAGTATACAACGAGCTCAATCTGTTAGCTATTGGAATCCGACTGTTGCAATGCTTGGAGCTGCTAACGGTGTTGGTGAAAAAATCCCTCCTTTCCTTATTTATCGAGGTGATGGGATAACATGTAGGTATTTGTAAAAAGAAAGATCAGTTTTTGTGTATCATATGATGCAGGTTTTTTTCTTTTCAATCACTTTATAACCATTCAAAGTTCATAAGTTCATATTTTTTAAAGTAGGTATTTACTTCAAACATGTATTTGCATCCAATCGTTTCTTATTCGCTATAGAATAAGTTAATTGATAACTTCCTAAAATTTTGTTATTTATTAAAACATTGCACTTTTAAGGTCATTGGTCAAGACACATAACATGTACATTCTTTAAGAAATATTTCCTGAATTTCAAAATTCATAAGTTGTTTGACTAATTCAATATATCACTGTTGATATGTCTTACATAATTCAAACATCTAATCATTATGTTGTTCAAATAAGTGTTTGCTCTTATTGTATACAGCTACGACCGATTAGTTGTTAAATTCATGTTTTCATTTTTAATCTGTTTGCTTTTATTCATTCAATGTTTGTTCACCAAAGTCGATTAGGCATCAAATTCACATAAAATCTCAATTTCAAATACATTCAGGATATTAATTTCATTGTTAAAATCTGTTTATATTTTTGGTTAACGGAAACTGAAGCTTGGAATGGTTCTATGTAATAAACAATGAACTTTAATACTATCCTTACTAACGTTATCTTACTAAAAGCTGAATCAGAGAAATGAATCATCCTTGTAATGTCTTGAATCCGACCAACATTCAATCGACAATAAATTTTGTCATCCCCCGAATAACTTTCTCGAAGTGCGTTCGACAGGCATACTGGAATGCAATGGTTCTGTGTCTTATTTATTGAAGGATAATCAGCAAGTTGTTTGTCGCAAAGTTGCAAAGTTAGCTTGAGTACAGTTACATGCAGAATAGTAGTATTTACAGGGCCTGCTTTGATTGTAAAGGAGTGCTGCGAATGATTAAATCCCTCAAAAAACCTCCTATTCATTGTATTTTTTTAATCTTGTTTTTAATTCGACCTTTCATTTTTTTACATCGAAATTCTTCACTTTTAAGGATGTTGCGAATGTAGTCATACAAAATAGCTACTTGTGAAAAACCATCATTTTCGGTCTCTCCCAATACATATTCCACGATAGATTTGTCTCTTAGATTAGCTGTATCTAATTGGAGGTTAAGGAGAATGTAGTACGTGCTGTATCCGAACGGAGTTAATAGTTTCTCAGTATAAGCAAGTTGTATCACTAGGCTAATCTGAGCCAGACTTATTACTTGGGGGGACTCAATCTATTAACCAGTGCTTACGATGTTATTTTGTAATGTCATGCATGCATAGTCCGTACGTAGACGTAAATTCACAGAACCGTTAGTTTGCATTTTAAAAAGTCATTGATATATTTATAAACAGTGTTCATTGATTTATTTTTCGGTGAATTTACTTACTTTCAGTAATTGACTCCTGTTTGTAAGTGTCTAACATGTCTGATTATTCTTGTTACTTTCTAACAAATAAGTGACTTCTTAATTAAGTAGACTACCAAATTTTTATATCACTCGAACTTATCACGTGAAACTGTTTTTTTGAAATATTTAATTTTAATTTCTAAGAATGAGTTGTCATAACAATTAATTTTTTATCTTTCAGCATCTATGATGGAAGGATCCGTACGAGGGACTAAATTTTCATATTCAGCTTCCGGTTGGGTTAATTCTGATGCTTTTATTCAATGGTTTCTTAAACATTTCCGTGTATTAGTATCTGTTCGACCGCTTATATTATTTTACGACGGTCATTTACAATTTGTTAGTGTACGTGTCTTAGAACGCGCTCGTGAAGACGGCGTTTTCCTGTTTCCACTCCCTCCCCATCCAGCTTATAATCATTGCGTAGAAAATACATGTTTCTGGGCATTTCAGGTAAATCAGTATTGCTGACATTATCGTAATTGTTAATAATACTAGCTAGTACTTTTCCATTTAATATATTATTGTTTCTTATCAAATATATTCAATTTAAGAGCCTGAAATATTTTAGTGCTCTCAGATTTATTCTGTTCTGACCAATAAATAATCAGGTCAACAGTAAACTTTTTATTGGAAGGAATATTTAGTACGTGATAAATGATAATATAGTTTATAGACTACACTATTGCGTGTATTTATAGATTTCCCATTAGAGTGTATTTTTGTCTTCTCTTAAAATCTTTCAGTAATTGGTTATGAAAGGTAAAATTTCCTCATCTGATGGTTCGCTATCTCATTGAAAATACCTACTGCCTAAAAGAACTTATACACACTTTGTTATATAAAGTTTGAGGTACATCAATCCTATTCTCTCTAAAATAATCCCCACTTGTGGCAATACACTTGACTTATCTCCGCTTCTTTCTGTTAAAAAGTTTACTAGAAGTCCTCGAAAGTTAGGCACTTCAACTACCTTGTCACTTCATGTTTCTCTGAATCTCAAATCTTTAATCAGAATTATGTGCACAGATTTTCCCAAATTCTATTAATTAACAATCAATGTGTTGTCTCTGTAAATAAATGGCGAAATTTTACTCATTCTAGAGTTTTTATTCTAAGTTCCATCGAAATTTTTTTGTTTAGTCTTGTATTTATTGGATATATATATTCCCAGTACGGGTACACCGCTGTTTCTTAAGAATTTAATTTCCTACTCACACTAAAATAAGAATTTACTAGAAAATTACGGATGTGCAACAGTGCTGAGAAGTTTTGTTGATTATCTGTATTTCTCATAAACGTATGATAGATTTTTTCGTACTGACTTTTTATAATATGGGCTTAAAGTTGATAAGTAAAAATGCTATGAGATTATCTACAGTAGTTTTTCTGACAATGTAATCGGAAATTTGGCTTCTGTGTTAACCCAGTTTTTTACACTTATTTTTCAAACCTAGTTTGTACATGTGCTTATACCCTGATTGATGAATGATTTCATTTTCATTTCATCACCACTATTATTATTATTATTATTATTATTATTATTATTATTATTATTATTATTATTGTATAATTAGACATAATAATTTGTAATACACTAACAGTTTAAGGCAAACATCATGTGACATATAACCTCTCTCGATTTTTCTCAGTAATTTAGAGAGATTTAAATGGTATATATGATCGTTCTTTTCTTTCGAAATAATGTCGTGTTTTTTTTCACTTCCTTTCTCCACTTGATTCTGGAACATAGACAAAGTTAGTTACTTATTTACTTACTCCTGTTACTTCTCGCGGACCATAGGCCACTAACTAGGTATCTCTAATCAACCCTATCTTGGGCTCTTTTTTCTATTTGTTGCTAATTTCTATTCACGCTCCTGATGTTCACCTCCAATTCACCACTCCATTCTCTGTTTGGTCTGTTTCTTTTTGTTCCGCATTTTCAAGTTAGGGCTTGCTTTATTACACAATTTGTTGATTTTTCTAAAGTGTTTTTTCATAATTTCCTCCTCAATCGTAAGCTGGTTTGTTCTCTGTCAGATTAGGTCTTTGGCTAATCGATCTAGATTATCTTGGATAGACAGCTGTTTATAAATACCTGTAGTTTTTTGATGATGGTTGTGGTAGTTCTTCAGGCCCCGTGCAATAAAATTTTTAGACATATTGAATATCATTTCATACTTGCCAATTTGATCATCCATAGCAATTATGAAACAGTGGTTGAGTATATGTCACTTAGGGAGACATATTAGTTGAATTTATGCAATATAAAAATATGATAATTTGGTGGAAAATATCTTAAGTATTTTTGGCTCATAATTAAAAATATCAAAGGAGTAATGTTGAATTTAGGCACAATCCTGTGCTAAAAATATCATATCATAAAATTTAAACATCACATGACATGGTATATAATATGAAGTGTAGTAGTTAACTCAATCCATGTATTCACAGATTCTATCTTTAAAAAAGAATGTAAATCGCACAAATGAAAACATTTCTTACTACTGCTATATCCATGTTCCTTTTCAAATTGCTGATGTTCTTTTTCATATTAGTTTACTGTAATATTTCATCCCTCTGGTTAGTTTTTCAGTGAATTTAAAAATGATGACTTCTGGCGTGTGGGTATAATACTTTTTACACTTTATATTTGAAAAATTTTAAATACAATGTACTGTTTTTACGCACACTGAACAACTAGTAGTGATCAGTGTATACCAGAGTTTTTTAAGATTTACCGAACTATTCAGCTGATAAATCCTTTCAATATTGTTATTTTGTTTGTTGTTTTTACTTTTTGTTGTACTGTACATTCTTTATGTATTATGTAAAGATATTATTTTTACAGTACTTTATATTAATGCTATTAATCACTTTAGTTTTTTTCATACTCTTTGGTTTTCAATATTTACATTAATTTCATTACTGAAGGGTTATTTCAAAAAACGTTTGGATCGCTTTTTTGAACAAAATCCTAACCAACCACTTTTACGTAATAACGCTTCACCTATATTGACTCATGCTTATGAAAAAGCTTTACAACCGAATAATATGATTAGTTTGTTTGAAAGATTGGGAATTTGCCCATTTAACAATTTATCCTCATCAATTGGCGCCTATTTGAACATGGTATGTTTTCATTAGTTATTTAAATGATTAGTCTTTATAAACTATAAGTGTATCTTAAAGAAAAAGATTAGTGTTTTTTAATGAAATATCTGCTCATTTTAGCGTTAACCAATGGAGATTAAGCTAGCTTTACTGATTTACTGTATCATATACTTAATCACTTGCACTACAAGGTAATAAGTAGGACTATAAACTTATTATTTTGGTATTCGATTGTATTTTCAGCAATTTACTTAACTTTGATTTTCAGTTTATAAGAGATAGTTATTATAACCAAGAAACGGTTATAACATAGATACTCAAATGTATGTTTGTGTACATGTGTGATCTAAATTTAGATTTCTGGGGAACTCGTCTTTCTAAAACTTCTTATTTTATCTATTATCGCATCCTTGTACTGTATAGTGATGCTCAAAATATTTTAAGTTAGAGGCATGGTACTATAGCGATAACAAACTTTGCTTAATTGTTAGTTATATCTTAACAAGGAGAATATTAACGGACGGAACAACGTACTTCCGTGTATCGTAAACTTCACTTTCAGTTTAGCTGAATGGTATTTGATTAGTCATTATTAAATGCTATTCGGCATAGGCCATCAACCCTGACTGTTCAAGTATTGACTATCGGAATTCATTATTTCAATAAAAAGTGGTCAAACTACAGAATCGAATCTATATGAAATACATAGTCTCGTTGAAATTTCAATCAATGCCACTTAAAGGTTGATACGATTTCCCGTGAATTTCATTAATATTTGGACCCGCCAAACCGTAATATGTTTAATTCCATTACCTCTAAGTCACCATAAAATAACGGAGGCTACTGATTAATTACCAAATTACAATGATGTAGTTTATGGTATCAAATGAATTCTTCCAGTCATAAACACCGTAGAACTTTTGGCAACATAATGATTACGCTAGAAAAAATAGAACTATATTTAGTTTATTAGTGTTGGTCATCTTAAGGGAACCACTTTACCATGATTGAACTATTAGTTGTATTTAGACAGTTAATCAATTGCTTCTGTTACTCTTCATGGAGATGCATAGACCGCTCAGCAGGGTTCTCCATCCAACTCTGCTATGGGCAATCCTTTCCAGTTGCTATTCATTCTTTTGATGTCTACTTCCGATTCCCGACACAAAGTGTTCTTTGGTCATCCTTAGTCAGTACATAGGTGTTTTGAATAATATGAACTATAGTGAACAACATACAGGGCGTAGTTGATACATCTGTTTGTTCATTTATTGGTTTTTATTTTATTGTTTAGCATTATCTTTCTGTTAAAATTATATACATGTTTAATCTCACACATTTATTTGTCTTTATCTTGACGAATAACTGACAACTAGTTATGTGTGCCGTAATATACTTTCATATTTCACTGTAGCTAGAGTTTATAATTTCACATTTCGAGATATGAATCAATCATTTTCTGTTTCTAATCTGTGAAATAAAAAATAGTTTTTCTCATTATTTCATCTTTTAAGCAGACAGAAGATTATGAACAAAATAGTTTGGCTGTAGAAAATGTGGATCCATATTTAGTTAATGAAATGGCGAATCCTTATAACCAGTGGTCTAAACTAGGATGTGCATCAAACTACCTCAATTATGTTAATCCAAATGGAGATTCAAAAGACCATGCAATCAATTCCTCGAATGATTCGCATCATCCAGTTGCAGCTGTCACTAAACTAGCTACCTATGTAACTGATAATACTGAAAGTAAGTATTATTTTTTGTACCAGTTTTTTTATTCTGCATGTTCTAACCTGCATAGGCGAACAAAACAAAAAAATATGGTCATTCCGTCGAAGAAATTACAGAGACGATGCAAAATTCACCATTCTTAATAGAAATACATATGTTTTCGATATAAAGTGAAATTTTGGTTTAAAATTGGTAACTTTTTTGAAACATGGCTATGAGTTATGTCGATAATAATTTTAAAATCGACTGCTCCTACTACTCTAAGATTTTTATACTGCAACTTTATGTGCCTCCTCAAAACTCATACGAAGTAATGATTTATTAAACTATCTTGATAAAGATGTAGTTCGACAATTTGCCAGTCATCTACCTCATCTGTATTATTATTTCAAACAGATAGCCCATTACCACACATAGAAATAGACTTAGCGTTTCACCAGATTGCTTATGAGATGTTCTTCAAACGTATGATGCGTATCTCAATATTTTGCTTATGGCTGTCTTGTTGAATCATCGAGTATTTTCTTAGAATATTCCTACGTTTCTAAAGGTAATAATAACAATCAGGTATCGATTGTCATCTCATTTGATGACGTTTAAACACTTTACTTTTGTTCATTAGTCAAAATTCCGTGTACTTATAACTTGGTCATTTTTACTGATATAACAAAAACTCTTATCTATGTGTGGGATACTTAGTCTCTTGAATGAAATCAATGTACCAGGAATCGTTTCGGAAATCTACTTCATTTTAATAATGTAATAAAATTCGGTCTCGCTGTTAATACAAAAATCACATAACTCTCATTTTAGTGTTACTTATCCTACACGCTACTTTGAAACAATTTACAGTTGTTTATATACCTTTGTAGCTTTCATGATGTTACTGATGTGACTTTTGTCATTACGATAAAAATTTAGGTATTTTGAAGGTAGTGTTTTAACTGATCAGGTAAGTTTTCTTTCGTGTATTCTTTTTTGGGGAAAATAACTTCATATTTTGCACTCGTTGATGCTGCGTTGACACGTATTTTTTCGGTCTGTATTTTTCGAATTCATCTGCCTAATCAGTCTCTACCAGCAGTTCTTCAATATGCTTAGGTTCATTTAATCGAACTCTTCGCCTTATGAACTGTTATTGGAACAAATTAATATACTTTGTCATAATAATACACGATTTACTTACAACCCCGAAAGCTCTTATCGTTGAATTACAGGTTTTTAACTATAATCTTCTTAACTTATTAGGAAACAATGAATTTTCTTACTATAAACCTTTAGTGATTTTAATTTCTTTCGTCATGTAAATAATATCAAGATATATTCTTCGTTCATAATCATTATCCCGACATATCATATAGTGTTGATTGTTTCTTCTACCTTTAATTCATCATCACAATAAAAACACCTTTTAAAATGTAATTTCATCAAAAAAGCCCAGTGTTGACACATGGTATTTTCCAGACTACTCCATCAGAGGTAAACTCTGTTTTGCTCTGTCAGATCGCCCTCAGAGTGTACTTTATAGTACTTTAATTATTTATTGACTTGATGCTTTGTTCTGACTTGTGTTATCTCTAATTTGACGCATTATATATGTGAAGAAAAATCTATATTTGTTGTAGGTCGACTCTAATTATTGTAAATGGACTGACAATAAATGGAATATTTTTGTTGGACCCATAACTTTCCTGTACTGTATTATAGAATGAAAAACCCTACTTTTTATTATTTACACAGATCCCTTAACTTCCAATTCCACTGTGGTGAATTCCAAACCGACTGCAACTGTTCTTACTTCCCATGAAAACACATTTAAAACTCAACATACTGTTTTAACACAGTTTTCTTCTTCAGGGCGATCAGTTACTATACGTTTGCATGGTCCTGCAGCAAATGCTATTCAACCTGTTTCTTTGCATGTAAGTGAAGTATTATTGAATATTAATTGTATTGATTGTCAAATATTATTCTTACACTGATACGTGCATTGGAAAAAAACAGTCTAAGCTTTCACAAATTAGTTATTTTCCCCGACAGTAATTGACTGATAGTATGTGCTTTTGTCCAAGTAACTTTATACCTAGTAGATGATGCGTGTCTCAGTAATTTAAATTCTAGTCTTTCTGCTAAAAAGATACGATTCTTCACCTTATTTTACATTCTTCAGTTGGTTAGTTTCTGTAACTCCTTACATAAATGTGACTCACAATCATGTAAATAAGGTCTACCGCTGTGTTTTTTTGTTTTACCTAATGAGTATCAATTCATATATTCCATACCATGCAGCGACCAGATCTCAGATTTTAATTTTCAATTCCAAAACATTTATATAATATGCATAATTGTCGCGTTTTAGTACTCTTATGTTTGTTTGAGATAATGAAGTATTAATAATATTTTGTCAATACTTTAGGAAGAATTTTCATTTCATCAGACCAAAGATCCTCCGTCATTTGACGTTTTAGCTAGTTCAGATGTGGATATTTCGCATGAAGAAGAAGTTGACTGTGAAGTTTCTAATTCTCAATTAATACAAAGTGAAACATCTGGTCACACTAGTCAGTATTTACAGGTATCTGAAACAGAAAGTGGTCATGGTCCCGTGAACGGTGGAGTTATTGAAAGTATTGATGGAGTGGAAGATGGTGAAGCACTCGACTTTTGTGTTGTTTGTGGTCAGTTAGAACCTCCAGAGTTATCTTGTCAACCAATTTCTGATCAGGCTAATGCTGATGATTTACAGGTAACAGATATATAAGTTACACCTTTGAAATACAATAGGCAAAATAGTATTTTGAAGTAAAATGATCGTTTAGGTACTGTTAGTCCATTTTACAGAATATTAGTTTCCATGATTCTAATTTCTATCATCGATAAAAGTTTATGTATGTTTATGATAAGTCTTGTCGATCGAACGCTATATTCGTCCTCCTAAACTATTCTGGTAACCCGCAGTCTAGATCTACACAGCGACTTGAACACCAGAGAGAAGACACAAGTATGAGGGAAAATACTTTATCCCAAGGTTCATTCTTGTACAGAAAATCATAGGTATTTATAGATGTTGGCGTCTGTTAAATCAACATCATATTTCAGCCAATCCGTTAACGACATATTATGCTACCGACCAATAGTAGCACGCCACGTTGGAATTCTAGAACGTTCCATCATACTCTGATTGGCTAGGACCCTTCGGCTCCTTTTGGGCCTCTGGAGGCTCCGTTGCAGTTTTCCGGAAGCCGACTCAACAGTTTATAACTTATGTTAATAGTCACGGAAGTTGTTTTAATCCACTAGGAATTTTCTATGCCACTAGGATTGTTCAATAATTTCTAATCGGTAATAACCGTGATGAAAATTTAACTCGCTTAGTTACTTTTTCAACTTATTCTGAAATGTTGGTTGTAACAACATTCATTTTCTTTCTTACAAGATACTTCGAACTAAATTTTTCAAAAATGAACTATTAACTTTTCTTCGTGCACTTTTAACACGACAGTTAACTTTAAGATCAACATAGAAAGCAACGGATACTTTATTAAAACTGAATAATCTTTTGAGAAATATACTCTGTGAATAAATCTAATGTTATAATACTGAAAAAACGTCAATTCTTTCAACGTCGTGGTATTTCACTTGATAATATCTATCGTCAGATTAGCTAGATCAGCTTTAGAATTCCAATAAATAGTTATTATTAAAACTAAACATTATTATTTGTAATTGTGTTTTTTTTCATACCAAAAAAGAAAATTTGCAAACCTTAACAAAATTAATTGTAACCAAACGTTGTATATCTAATCGACACCCTGATACAGATAGTTAGTCCTAACATTTAATATCTTGTAGATAGATATATTCCTTTTACTTATCTTATGTAATTTACTTTTCAGTCTGAGTGATCTACTGTTTAACTCATATGCATAGCAACTAATTGACGATCACTCCAATATATGTTTTTGTAATCTTTCAATTTTAATGTTCTGGTCATGTTTTAATCACTTCTAATTATATACTTATCCAATTTAATTCTAACGTTTTTCCCCTGCCGCTTATTTAGGTTATTGATTGGGCACATTGTGATTATTGTAACCGTTGGGTGCATCTTAATGGCTGTTGTAGTGAGGGTGCTGTAATAGGAAATAATTCATTTATGTGTGTTGTTTGTCGGAACGATAGTACAACAACGGTGGGAAGTGTAAGAAATCTTCAACAAGAAATAGTGCTGACCAAAACTGACAGTGGGGAGCAAGAACAATCGATGGATGTTAAAGTTTAGATGTACAAAAATATTGTTTTTATTCTCTTTTTTATTGTCTTCCATTGAGGTAATTGTGTATCATGTACATAGAGACTGATACAAAATATTTTTGTAACGAACCAGGGAAGTTTTTACATTCCAAGTTGTATTTTTGTTTAGTTTCATTGCACAAGTTGCTTATGTTCTGTTTGTTTTTATTCTTTACATGAGATAAACCTCATGAAAACCTTTTATACTATACTATATAACTGACAAATTAACTGTTGTTTAAAGCTTTCGTGCCCAGTAAACAATTCGTTTGTATGTTTGTAGAAATATTTTTATCATCCTTTGAACACAAAGTTGAGTTTACCCTCTAATTCACGTAATAGTTTATGTTCATTGTGTAAATGATCCTCTTAATAATCTACTTCTTATCCATTGCCTTTCCCTCCAACTGTGGCTGTGCCAATTGAATTTGTAGATAGATAAAATTGTGATTTTCTTATTAGAAAATATAATATAAAGCGCTGACAGTTTATAAATATTTCTTATTTCTTTCGTTTGATATATTTTAAAATGCAAATTGTACTTTACTATTTCTTTAAAGACCTATTCAGTTTACATGGTAAGGAAACGAAGGGGGAAGATTGGTTCTTGTATATTTTACAAGTTTTTAAGTATAATATATGTATATTAGGTTATTTCCTGAGTATTATTAACAAGTGTTTTAAATAGTAATGTGTAGATAAAATTGGTTCCCTTCGTTGCTGTATATTGAATGTCTACGTTTGTGTACAATAGGTATTTGAACTCTATAAATAGGCTTCCTTGATAACAGTAGAGTTTTGTTCGTATTCTAAACACACTAGCTTGATATCCAGTGACTGCTTTTACGAAAAATAATATGTTTAAATGGTGATTGCATGTATTACTTCTAAACTTTCCTCCGGTTTGTTATTGAGGCATGGTTGATCGATTCGTTCGTAGTTTGCGATCGATTTGGGTCGATATTTTCACTGAATGTCAGGAGGGATGTTTTCTGTACAACGCAACAGTTATTTATTGATAGTCGTTTTTACAGTCTTTGTCATACTTCAGAGTTTCGTTTGTGGTAATTCTAGCCATGAGGTAATCAACTTAGCGAAACCTGATTATACTAAATGCTTGGAAATGATGGTAAATCAGTTGATGAGGTTGTAAATCTTCATCGAATGAGATGGTTGGGCCACGTGTTACGTATGCCTGAACACCGACTACCACGACGTGCAATGCTATCCGGTATTGGAGATGGTTGGAAGAAAGTTAGGGGCGGCCAAACCAAAACGTGGCATCAGTGCTTGAAGTCACTAACTTCTAGTCTTAGACATGTTGGTAGATTCAGACTACTTTGTTGGGGTACGCGTGACTATCGTAATCCATTGTTGGAGACTCTGAGTGATATGACTCAAAGTCGATCACAATGGCGTCTGTGTATACACTCTCTGTCTTCCTTTAAACTATGAGATTAAAATCGCTTCATATCTTTCTACGAACTAATTCTTTCTTCCCGTACTATGTCATATATGCAATCTTTCTTTTATATATTACCACCTTTGACCTAACCACTGCTGTGAATCCGGTGTTCATCTTGTTGTGCTGATGCGGTATGGCAACCTGGACCGATGCACATATGTGCCTGGTCCTACGTTTTAGCTGACTGACTGACTGGATATTAAATGCATAGTTTATTGCCAAAGTTGTATAACATTTTAATAACTAATTATTCAAAGTCTAGCTTTCCACAATAATGAATGGCTTGACTCTGTTTACAAGTACTTTCATCACTTTGTATAGCGTGGTCGCTATTCGGAATAGTCATTCTACTTTTGAGATGACGTGTATCGTGTACCTAACACTGATAAGTGTTAGTGGGTCACAGATTACACTAACTAGCTTCACCTCAAGATTTCATTCAAATCTAAGACAGTGAAATCTTTGCATAAATTATTTTATCTCAAACAATTTCAAGTGGGAAGATATCGAAATCCGTATGTCAAGTGCCTTCGTGATAAACACCAATTATTGAAGCACTAGCAATTTTAGGAGCAATAATACAGTCAAAAATAGGCCATAATAGTTTATTGGAACTCTTATACAGAGCCAGCTCATCCACATTCATCTACAAAGTTGTGCGAACAAAATTGAATGCGGGAAATGCTATTTAAACCAAATAACTGAGTGAATACAAACGAACGTGTTGTATTTAGAATTTAAAATCAGGCAGATATAAAGTGCAAAAGAACCACACGTTCTTACAAAGACCACGCTTTCATTTTTTCACAGATTGAGTGCAAAGTTGATAAATATAATACATTGCTTCTGTGAAGGTCAACAACCTACTAACCAGGCAATATGACATGAAAATAAAAAGCTAACTACGAGTAGTATTAAGGGTTTTCATATTTATTATATTCGTGCAAGCAGGCAAACTGAGTGATCGAATGTGGAATTTGAATAACTGCAGACATAAATATCTCTAGTAAACAAACACAGTGAGTAATGGGTGATATAGCTTTTGTGCAAAGTTAACAATATATGAATCATGGGTAACTGGGAAGCTTATAGACGACATATATGACTAAAAAACCATCAATAATGAGCACATATACAGGAACACACAGGTAGCGTCCCAGTCAAATGTAGATAGACATCCGTCCGCCTAAGATAATAAATAACGTTACAATTAAAATTCATAGGTCACGATAATGTTTGTATAAGTATGTAGGATTATTTCACGACACTGTTATACATTAATCGAATGTCTACCAATAGAGCGATTCAGGATTATTTCAAGTCGTTATTATTATTATTATCAATAGCCTCCATAAGCCGTATAGGTAGCCTCCATAAGTTGAAAAAATCGTCACCAAAGATTGAGCGAAAACTACTGATGCTCATGACAGAGAAAAACGTTTAGGTTATCCTGGAATTCTTTACTCAGAAATAATATGAAACAGAGTATTATTGTATATTGAAATGTTGATTTCAGCGGTTAGTAAGAGTTGCAGGTACACTGCAGTTTTGTGCATTTTTTGGTTCTGTGCACATATGTTTAAAGTTTACTGTAAAGAGACATATAGTCCTTATGTATTTGTTAAACTAAGCAGAAATTTTGTAAATTCATAAGTAACGATCAAACTTCTGTTTTTTCAGACTGTCTCAGTCGTTGCATAAATGTGATGTCCCCACCTTCAGCAACTTTTCCCAACTTACTCTTTATTTGGAAGTCAGTTTGTTCTATTCCAAAATAGAATGTTGCTGATGGTATCCGGCCTACGAATCAGGAGTATCTCCCGTAAAAAATCGTTAGTACGTTTTCGATGATGGTTGTAGTTCTCTACGTTTGAACTCCGTATAGTAGAACTGTCTTGTTTTAAAGATTCTGACTCTGTTGTTTAACAGTTTTAAGTCCTATATATTCCTCAATTGTAGGAATGCTACCTTAGGTATGACGATGCTTTTCTTTACAGCCACATCAGATCCTCGTTTTTCTATTATGCTGCCGAAGTACGTAATTGTTTGCACCTTTTCCAGGGTTTCTCCATCAAGTGTGATTGGTTCGTTTTCCTTTGTGTTCTATTTCAGGATCTTGCTTCTCCTCTTGTGTTTGTGGAGGTCTGGTTGTGTTCATCCGTATTTGTTGGTGTGCATGTGTAGAAGGGCCTGGTCATCTGCGAGGTCCATATTGTCTAGCTGCATCCTAGCTGTCCATCATATTCTTTGACACTGGTCCTCACTCGGAATGCATCCGTGAACTGTCCTTCACTCACGACTTTACAGTGTAGTCCATCATATAAATTCCTTATGATGCTGAAGATTTCAGGTACTCCATAATGTCAAAGAAGGTTCCGTAAGGTTCTATCTACTCTGTCAGATGCTTTCTCATAGTCGAGGAAATTAATGTGTAATGATAAGTTCTATTCAGTTTATTGTCTGACAATGACCCTTATTGACGCGGTCTGGTCTGTGCACGACTGATCTTTACGGAATCCAGCATGTTGATCTTGAAGTTGGGCGCCTACTGAATCCTTCATCCGGTTCAATAGCACTCTTGAGAGCGTTTCCCAGTATCAATAGTAATGTGGTGCCTCTGTAGTCCTCACATTTTTTGAGACTTTTTTTATTATTGACTATTAAGTTACTTAAACACATAAACGTAGGTACAAGGAGGCACCAGATATATATGCGCCATACTTTCGATTTGTATGAGGGCTGAAATACTGCGTGGGTGCCCAAACTAAAACAGATGGTGTTTTGGAGGGTTACTCTTTGAGCCTTTGACATAGAGGTCCTCTACATCTACCAGTTCGGTTACAGCTCCATACATTCGCCTTTCATCCACTCTGTGTTGTAAAGAACACCGCCGCTAGAAAGTGGTGATTAGATTTTCCCTGGCAGCGGCTGTATACTCCTACCCATGTGAGAGCGTTTCGGGAGAACAGGCTGAAAGCGACTATCGCCCGTTCGTGGTCCGTGATAAGATATTCTTCTTCCCAGTCTGTTGGCACTTGTTCCCAGGTTTTTTGAAATAAAATATGGAGCATATTTGCAAATACCCCTATGTCTGACTCCAGTGTTTCAGCCAGTACGTTGTCTAGTCCTGTTGCTTACCCACTCTTGATTTGTCTGATGGCATCCTGACTTCGTCGACCGTTGGTGAAGTGACATATATAGGAAAGTCTGTGTGTGCTGCGTCGATTTCCGGTAGGTTCAGTGGGGCCAGTATGTTCGAGAGTTCTTCAAAATGTTTTGCCCATCTGTTCCACTGTTTTTGAGTCTCAGTGATTGACATCCTTGTTTGTTCTTGATTATTCGCTCGTTGTACTATATAGTTGTCTGATATTTCCTCTTGGAGCTTTTTCTGCTGTCAGTGCTAGTTCTTCCACATATTTCCGCTTGTCAGCTCTAATACTCCTCTTCACTTGCTTGTCTGCTTCAGTATATTCAGCTTGTTTCTTGGCTTCTTCTGTTCTTTACGTGCTTTACGTATGCGTTTGTGGGGGAATATAAGGCCACCATTAGCCATTTTATTGAAGACGCATGAATCTGTAAATCTCATTATTTCCATTTCCTCCCAGTCTATATCGTTCCATGATATCTTCATACCTGATTTTGTCTATTCCGACTTTGGCATTTAGGTGTCTGATCAGTATGATGAGATCTATTTCTTGGCAGTTCACTTCGTTTAACTGCAGCTCCTCATCGAACTGATCTTCATCGTTTTCATTGCTATCATTGGTGGATGCATAACACTGAATAACATTCATTGTAATCACCTTTGCTCTGAAGGATGCTTTGATGATCCTGGATCCATGAAATTCCCACCCAGTAAGTGCATTTCGTGCTTATTTAGACAGCATCAGTTCAACCCCCTGTGTTTGCGAAGCATTTTCATGACTTATAGTACGACAGCACCTCTGCCGAAGATGATCTTTTCTGTCCAGCTTGATTCCAATAGGTTTGACTTAGTCCGAGCACCGTCAAGTTGTATATCCTCATTCCCATAGCTATTTGATTGATCCTCCCGCTCTTCCACTTTATGCTGATATTACATGTACCTTTGTACCCTTTTTCTCTGGTTGTTTGAAAGGACACCGGCTCGTGGTGTGGTCTCCTAAAAAACCACCTGCTTCGGTTTGGGCATCCGGGCAGTATCACAGCCCACACACAAATATAATGAAAATGATGATATTTACTGAAAACTCTATTCTCGCTTCGATTTACAGTCAAACATTTTTTAGTGTGGCTCATATATATTTGGTGCCCTCTTGTACCAATATTTATGTGTTCAA